ATCGACGGCGACCGAGGTCAAGTGAGAGGCCAGAGCAGCGGCGCCCAGGGCGACTCAGAGTCCAAGAAGTCGGAGGCTTGCGTGTGAAACTGGCGCAGAGGGTGTTCGTGGCCATGGTCGCCGAGGTCAACGCGGAGGCACCAGTGCACGCGGCTAGGTCGCGCATCTGGCTGGGCCCCTCCCTGGCGAATGCAGGCCGTCGACGAGAGGAGGAGCTCACGCGGGAGCTCGGGGTGCACGAGCGCGCGCTGCGGAGCGAGGCTCGCGGCAAGCGCGTCGGCGCCCAGTGGCTGCGCGACGAGCGCTACGACGACAACGGAGTGACGTTCGCGCGCGCCCGCCTCGCGGCCGCGCAGGTGGCGCGGAGGGCCAGGAGCGACTGTTTTGCGGGGGCGCGCAGCCGGCCCTGCGCGAGGCTGGCCCCCAGCTTCGCGGCAGCTCTGGCCGGAGGGGCTCGGAGGAGGCCGGTCGCGCTACGCGACGTGTCGGTTGCTGTCTGCCGCGCGCTGCTTGACGAGGACATCTAGTGGACCCGCCGAAGTCCGAGGGGGGGGGTCCTCAGCGCGCGCGGCAGCTTCGGAAGGCGCTCTACGGCGCGAGGGGAGCAGCGCTGAAGTTCCAGGAGCACGTCATCGACGCGCTCGTGAGATAAGGCTTCTAGGGGGTTGCTGTGGCAGCGCAGGTGTTTTACCGCGCGCGTCGGTCGATCTTGGTCGCAGTCCACGGCGGCGGCTTCTGCGCAGGGGGCGAGCGGCTCGACGGAGTTCGAAAGCAGTACTTCGCGATCAAGCGCGGCCCTCGAGTCGGCCCATCAGCAGTTGGAGGGGCCGACCACGGCCTCTTCATTGAGTGCGCGATCAGCTGGACCGACGATGGCTTCCACTGGCTCGCCGACACGGTGCACATCGAGAAGTTCATCGCGTACAACGACAGGGCCGAGAGGGGCGCGCCCAGCCGACCCCTCAGCCTAGGGAGCAAGCGTGTTGGCAAGAGTCGGAAGGACGCTGCAGACCTGCTTGAAGACCAAGAGCGGAGCGAGTAAAAGAGTCTCGCCCCGCCGGCACACTACGTGGCTGCCGATCGCCCAGACATCCAGCACGCGACGGGGGCGCTGATGAGGGCGCTGGAGGAGCCGACAGTGCTGCAGAGGCTGCAGCTAGAACGCTTGGGGAGCTACCTCATGACGCGCAAGGAGCTGCAGTGGGAGAACGCTTGGGGAGCTACCTCATGACGCGCAAGGAGCTGCAGTGGGACTTCGCGTGCCAGGCGACCCCGCGGGAGCTGCGCGTTGAGGTGGGCTCCTATTGGGCGCAGCGCCCGAGGACCAGAAGGTCCACTGGTGGCGGGCTCGTGTTCTGGGGCAAGCATCCGTTGGACAGCCGCTGCGGGCAGCACCAGAACATCGCCCTTTCGTCGGGCGAGGTCTTGCTGCGCGAGTTGGTGAACGGGGCTGCGCACGGGCTGTTTCGCTTCCATGTGTTGGAGGAGATGAGTGTGCTGAACCTCGTGGTGAAGGTCGGCAGTGACTCGGCGGCGGCGTCGGGCATCTCCCACCGCCTTGGCGCGGGCCGAGCGAGGCACCTGGAGGCCAAGCAGCTTTGGATCTTGGAGAAGACGAGGTCGGGAGAGGTTCAACCGATCAACATCAAGACAGCGGTAAACAGGGGAGACCTGCTCTCCAAGTTCCTTGAGCCCGAGCGGCATTGGGGGCTGGTCGGCGCCCTACCGCTGAGCGCTTTCGGCAAGGCGCGGTGCGAGCGCGCCGGCGGTAGCAGCTGCGCCGATGCTCCTGCCCGAGACGGCGGGGGCGTTGGACGAGAAGGAGGCCGAGAGTATGGAGATCAACCCAATCAACCCAATGTTGGCGGCGTTCTTCCTCGTCGCCCTCAGCTGGCTCATCTCGAGGCTTCAGGGCAAGAAGGTGGTTGGGAAGATGGACCGGAGCGTCCAGGCGGACGAGGCGACCCAGGTCACGACAGCGCCAGACTCGATCAGCATCGGGTCGGCAACCAGCACTGCGAGGCGCAGGGAGGTATTTTCGTGGCGCTGAGGTTCTGTGAGAAGTACCACTTCACTCGCGTCTGCGGCGGGCTGTCGAGCGCGATGGAGGTGAAGGAGTTAGAGATGCAAGATGCGCGGCTGAGTGAGTGAGTCCTCGTGTCGCCGATGCACGTTGCCAGATCGGTGCAGTTAGGCGCCAGGGCCGATGGAGTTCCGACCCGACAGGGCCGATGGCCCCCCCTTCGAGGCTCGAGCGAGCCCAGCTCGAGCGGACCCCTGCAGAGAGACAGAAGCACGGGTGGGGATCAGAGCGCTGGAGATGTCCTGATCGAGGTTGCGCGCGCAGCAGAGAGGCCCTTCGACGGAGTTGGCCAGGGGCCGTCGAGGGGCCCGCTGAGGTCTGAGGAGGCCGCCGCGAGGAGGCGCGCGAGTTTCCAGCCCCCAATGTCAGAGGAAGATAGGGATGCACACGGCGCAAGCTACGCGTCGCATCCGACGCTGCACCTTCTCAAGCGCGCCTTGCCAGCCCAGGAGGAACGCGGGGCTTTCGGGGCTCAGAGATGGGCTCCTAGGGCCCCTGGGGGGCCCCGGAGGCCCCAGAGGCCGAAGCGGGATCCGCGCGCCCTAGCTGAAGCGGGGGCGGGCATGGAAGCCCCCCCCCTCCCCCCTTTCTGGGGCACGGGGCCAGCCTGGGCCCCTCTTTCAACGGGGGCGCCGTCGAAGCCCCCCCCTTTGGATGTTGTTGCTGGGGGGTCCTCGGCTGGGGGGGGGGGGCTTGGAAGCTACCCCGCCCCGTCCTTTTCGGGGCCCGGGGCAAGTCCGGACCCCCCCTTCCAAACGGGGGGGCGCTTCCGAAGTTGCCCCCCTTCCTTCCGCTGGCTTCTCCAGCTGGAAGGCCCTGGTTGAAGGGGGGGTCGAAGTTGCGAAGCTATTTTTCTTATTTGGTTATCGGCGCGCCGTTGGTTTGCGGCGCGCTCTCGGTTTTTATGTCTCTTTGGTTGTCTGCGCCTTCTGGTTTCCAGCGCGTTTGGGGCTTCTAGCGCTTCTTTGGTTTGCGGCGCTCCTTTGGTTTCGGGCGCTCCTTTGGTTTTCGGCGCCCCATGTGGTTTTCAACGCCCTTTTTCGTTTTCGGGGCATCGTTGGTTTTCGGCGCCTTCTTGGGTTCCAGCGCTCCTTTGGTTTTCGGCGCCCTCTTAGTGTTCGGCGCCCTTCTGTTTGTCTGCGCCCCTTGTAGTTTTCGGCGCCGTTTTGATGTTCGGCGCTCTTCGGTGGTCGGCGCTCCTTTGGTTTTGGGCGCCCTTCGGCCGCCTGCGCGCTTCTCGTTTTTGGCGCCCTTCTGGTTTTCGACGCCCTTCTGGCCATCGGCGCATCTTTAGTTGTTCGGCGTGCTTCTGGCTTTCAGGCGCATCGCTAATTTCCGGCGCCCCTTTGATTTTCGGCGCTTCTTTGGTTTTCGGTGCCTCTTTGGTTTTGGCGTTCCTGAGGTTTTCAGCGCCCCTTTTTGGTTTTCGGCGCCCTTCAAGTTTTCGACGCCTTGTCCGTCCTCGGAGCTTCTGTTGTTTTCGGCGCCCCCTTCGTTTTCGGCGCCTTTATAGTTATCGGCGCCACTTTTGTTTTTCGGCGCCTTCTGGGTTTCCTGTGCATCGTTGTTTTCCGGCGCCACTAGGATATTCGGCGTCTCTTTTGGTTTCCGGCGCCCCTTGGATGTTCGGCGCCCCCTTTTTGTTTTTGGCGCCGCTTTTGTTTTCGGTGTTCCTGTGGTTATCGGTGTCCTTTTGGTTTTCGGTGTCCTTTTGCTTTCCGGCGCATCTTTGGATTTCGGCGCACCTTTTTGCGTTTGGCGTTTTGTTGGTGTTCGTCCACCTGTGGGTTTTCTGCGCCCCTTTGGTTTCCGGCGCCCTTTTGGTTTTCGGCGGTGGTTTGGTTTTTCGGCGCCGTTTTGGTCCTCGGTGCCTTGTTGTTTTTTGGTATTCTTTTGGTTCTCGGCATTGTTTGGGTCTTCGGTGCCCTCTTGGTGTTTGGCGACCCTTTGGTCGTCGGCTCTGCATTGGTTCTCGGCGCCCCTTTGGTTTCCAAGTTCGGCGACCCTTGAGTTTCTGGCGGTCTCCTGGGTTTCGGTGCTTGTTGGTTATCGGCGCCCTTTTGGTGTTCGGCGCTGCCGTGGTTTTCAGCACTCTTTGGGTGTTCGGCGTCTCTTTGGTTTTCGGCGCCCCGCTGGTTTTCGGAGTTCGTTTGTTTTGGTTTCGGTGTTTCTTTGGTTTTCGGCGTTCAGTAAGTGTTCGCCGCCGCGTCTTTCGGGTTTCGGCGCCCCATTGCTTTTCTGCGCTCGTTTGGTTTTCAGCGTTCCTATGGTTTTCGGCCCCTTTCGGTTATCGGCGCTCTTTTCGTGTTCGGCGCCCCTTTGGTTTTCGGCGCTCCTTTGGTTTTCGGTGCTCCTTTATTGTTGTCGGCGCATTTTTTGTTTTCGGCGCCGTTTTCGTTTTCGGTGACTTTTCGGTTGTCGGCGTTTCTTTGGTTTTCGGCGCCCCCTGGTTTTCGCACCCTTTCGATGTTCGGTGGCTTTTTGGTTTTCGGCACCCTGATGGTTTTCGGCGCTCTTTTGGTCTTCGGCGTTTTTTTATTTTAGCCGAGGGCGGGGGCTTCCGAGCCCCCCCCCCTTTCGCCCAAAAGGGGGGTGGTGGAGCTTCTGGTAGGGATGTTCAAAAGGGGGGGTAGCTAAGCACCCCTCCCCACCCTCCCCATTGGGAAAGGGAGGGGGGTAGCTTCCAGACCGCGAAAGGGTGGAAGGGGGGGTAGCTCCCGAAGGGCGGGAAAAAAGAATTGGGGGGGGCTTCTGGCAGGGGAGTTTCAAGGGGGGGTAGCTAAGCCCCCCCCCCTTTGGACAGGGAGGGGGAGGGGTGTGCTTCCAGAGCGCGAACAGGAGGGACGAGGGAGGTAGTTTCCGAAAGGCGGAACAAAAGGCAAGGGGGGGGGGGGGGGCTGCAGCAGGGCAGGTCCAGGGGGGGGCGTGGCTACGGGGGGGCCCTCATCCCCTCTGTTTAGGAGTGCGCCCCGGGTCCCCCCTTTGGGAGTGGGCCACGGGCGCGCGCTCTCTCGCATTTATGTTCTAGGCATGAAGCTGGCGTCCACAGGCCTGTTCCAAGCAGTCCACTGCATGCATTGGCAGGTGGCGTGGGTGCGTGCACGTGGATGTGCGCATATGCACCTATAGTGGGAAGATAAGCCAGAAGCGGGTGAGCCGAGGGAGGACCTAGAGGGTCCGAGAGGCCTGAACGACCGATGAATGGCTACAACCCTGCAGATGAACTGGCACTCTACAGTAAAATGATAGTAGCCGGGGGAGGCGATTGGCCTTATGGTCGGTGCGCCGCCCCTGAAGACGACGAAGATGAAAAGGAGGGGGGGTGCAGGGGGAGAAGGAGGAGTGGCAGGAGGAGGAGGAGGGAGGGGTGCAGGAGGTGGATGAGGGAGGAGGAGGGGGGAGGAGGAAGATGAGGAGGGGAGGAGCCTCTTGGTGTCTTGGTGGGAGTGTTCTCGGAGAGCTCCTGGGACGTCTAGGAGGCTTCTTGGATCGTTTTGGGGGCATCTTGGCCGTGCTGGGCCGATCTTTGAGCGACACGGGGCTCTTGTGGGCAATCTTGGGAGCCATCTTCGGCATTGTGGGTTCTTTTTGAGATGTTCGATATCTCGGGGCCGCCCGGGGGAAAACGAATCTGGGTGGTGACTCCCCCCAGGATCCCCCCCGCCCCCCCCCCCCCCTTGCGGGGAACGGATCAAAGGGAAGGGCCTTCCTTTCGACTCCAATACGACCTTTTACAATTTCGCTTTGGCTAGCACGCTTGAGGAGGGCCCAGGGAAAGGGACGGGGGACGATATGGCGAGGAAACGACTGTGACGACGAGGAGACGACGTAGACGACAACTCGAACGGAGAAGCCCCTCGCACACGCCGACAGGGTCGGCGGATTTTACAACAGCCCACTTTGGCCAAGTAGACTATTGTGCCAAGGTGTCCTTATCTGAGTCATGTATCGTTGAACTTTCCAGCCTTACTTATCCCCCCCTTATGGTTGGATCAGAGCATAGAAGCAGGAACCAGGAGCGAAGGAACGAGCAAAGCGAGCAAGGGCCAGAAAGGCCCGAGAGGCGGGTCCACAGATGACCCTAAGAAATAGCCCTACGTACTAGCCCGTACTGGAGAAGCGTGGGAGCGAGTAGTTAAGAATAGTGTTTTCCAATACTGTAAACTTCTTGTATTGAGCCCCTCTCGTATTAACCTGGTTTTGGCATTCCCCAGAGGACCCTTTCCAACTCCCCTGCCCTTGGTGTTCCATCAGCCAGCCCAAGAGAGCCCCTAGAGAGCTTCAGGAGGGGCTGGAGAGAAGGCATCCGAGCTGACATTTCGAGTCCTCCGCTCCAAGATGACCCCGCGGCCGCCAGCAGCCCACCCAAAGGCTTTCATGACGCCCCCCAGGATGTGCCGAGAGGCCCCCAGGAGGCCCACAGAAGGGTTCAAAAAAGTCCCCAAAGGGGCTTGAACCCTGCTTCCACGATGCCTGCGATGTCCGACCGTGCCCCCCAACGGCCCGCCAAGAAGCCGTAGGAAACGCGGATGACCCACAAAAGCGACCCCAAGAGACCCCCTTTACGCCCCAGGAGTCCACCAAGCGAGAGCTTTTGAAGTACGGCCCAATCGCCTCAAACCGCGCCCCTAGACGGGCGTAGACACCCCAGGATCACCCGCATCGCCCGAGAAACCACGAAAACATTTCCAGCTCCAGCCCAAGTTCCAGTCGGTCTCTTCGATTCCTGCCAGTTCGCAGCCTCCCGAGGGATTTCCATGGGCCCCGCGTCGTTGGAGGCGCTCCAGGGGCGCTCAACGGCCGCGGCGGCCTCGCCCTGCGTCCACCCAATGACGAGCGCGGACCTGCTCGCCGTTCATGCGCCGCGCGCGGCGCATAGTTTTACGCGGCCGGCAGATCCCCAGAGAGTGCCCCTCACTCACTGTGCGGACCGTCCGCCGTTCTTTTCGCTGCGGGCGCGGGCGCTCCACCCGAAATCCATCCGAACGGCCGCCTGAATGGCCGCCTGAGGCCAGGACCAGCGTGAACGAGGTCTCGAGCGGCCGGCGCAATTGAGCCTGGAACCCTTCGCAGCGGTTCCGCAATTGTGGTTGACCACAGCAGCAGGGGAGGAGGAGGAGGAGGAGGAGGAGGAGGAGGAGGAGGAGGAGGAGGAGGAGGAGGAGGAGGAGGAGGAGGAGGAGGAGGAGGAGGAGGAGGAGGAAGAGGAGGAGAGGAGGAGGAGGAGGAGGAAGGAGGAGGAGGAGGAGGAGGAAGAGGAGGAGATGGAGGAGGGAGCCGTTTTGGTGTCTCTTGGGGCATCTGTTGGGCCTCTTGGGGGCCTCTTGGGGCCTCTTGGGGGCCTCTTCAGGGTCTCCTGGGGCCTCTTGGGGGCCTCTTGGGGCCTCCAGGGAGCTTCTTGGGGCGGAAGGCTCGGATTTTGGGTTCGGGCTCCCCGTCTTGGGCCTCTCTTGGGGCCCTCTTGGGCCGTCTTGGTAGCCTCTGGGGCCGTCTTGGCGCCTCCTTGGGCTGTTTTGGGCGCCTCTTGGGAGCATCTTGAGCCGTGTTGGGGCCTTCTTCACGAAAGGATCGGCTCGATTCGGTTCGGTCAGGTTCTGCAGCCGGTTCGGTTTTGCTTGGCCGCTTCGGTTTGACGTCGGTTCGGTGTCGGCCGGTTCGGCTTGGGTCTGCCGCCGGTGCGGTTCGGTTCCGGTTTTCGCGCGGTTCGGTCCGACTGGTTCGGTTCTGTTCCATTGGCTGGTCCGGTTCGGTTCGGTCCGATTGGTGGGGTGCGACATTGGGCGCCCCGTGTGCGTAAGCGGCGACCCAGTTTGAAAGCAAAAGGAGGAGGAGGAGGAGGAGGAGGAAGAGAAGGAGGAGGAGGAGGAGGAGGAGGAGGAAGAGAAGGAGGAGGAGGAGGAGGAGGAGGTGAAAGAGGTGGAGGAGGAGGAGGAGGAGGAGGGAGGACGCAGGGAGGAGGAGGAGCAGGAGGAGGACGAGGAGGAGGAGGAGGAGGAGCGAGGCGCAAGGAGCGAGGAGCAGGGCCGACGACGCCGACGCCGAGGTGCCCGGCCGCGGCCCCCTGTCGTCATTCCGTCGTTCGTCGCCGTCGTCGCTGTCGTCGTCGCCGTTGCCGGCGTCGTCGTCGTCGCCGTCATCGTAGGAGGGGGATGCGGCGGTGGTCGTGTTCCAGGGGTTGTAGGAGCAGGCGCCGATGGAGGAGGGGACCCGATGGCTCGACATGAATATGGAGCGCCATGAGGTTGCGAAGGAGGGGGGGGAGGCCGACGAGGAGGACGAGGGGGAGGAGGAAGAGGAGGAGGAGGAGGAGGAGGACGAGGAGGAGGAAGAGGAGGAGGAGGAGGAGGACGCCCAGGAGGAGGACGAGGACGCGGCTTTCCGCCGGGACTCTGCAGCCAGGAATCCCCATTCCACGCTGTTGCTTCTGATTGTTTGTTTTGTTTTCGGCGCCTGTTTGGTTTTTGGCGTTCGGTAGGTGTTCGGCGCCGCGTCGTTTGGTTTGCGGCGCCCTTTTGCTTTTCGGTGTTTTCTGTTTGTTTTCGGCGTTCCGTTGTTTTTCGGCTCCTTTTGGTTGTCGGCGCGCTTTTCGTGTTCGGCGCCCCTTTGGTTGTAGGCGTTCCTTTGGGTTTCGGTGCTGTTTTGGTTTTCGGCGCATCTTTGGTTTTCGGCGCCGTTTTCGTTTTCGGTGCCTTTTCGGTTGTCGCCGTTTCTTTGGTTTTCGGCGCTCCCTGGTTTTCGCACCCTTTCGGTTTTCGGCGCTTTGTTGGTTTTCGCCGCTCTTGTGGTCTTCAGCGTTCTTTCCTCTAGCCTGGGGGGGGGGCTTCCACCCCCCCCCCTTCGCCCAAAAAATGGGGGGGAGCTTCCGGTAGGGAGGTTCAAAAGGGGGGTAGCTAAGCCCGCCTCTCCATTGGGAAAGGGAGGGGGGGGTAGCTTCCAGAGCGCGGAAGGGGGGGAGGAGGGGTAGCTTCCGAAAGGCGGGAAAAAAGGAGGGGGGGGTCCGGCAGGGGAGGTGCAAGGGGGGGGGTAGCGAAGCCCCCCTTCCCTTTGGACAGGGAGGGGGAGGGGGGGGGGTGCTTCCAGAGCGCGAAAGGGAGGGACGACGGGGGTAGCTTCCGAAGGGCGGAAAAAAGGAGAGGGGGGAGGAGGGAGGGCCTCCGGCAGCGCAGGTCCAAAGGGAGGGCGGGCGGGGGGCGTAACAGAGGGGGGATCCTCCTCCCAGTTTTCGGGGGTGCGCCATGGGGGCGCTCTCTCGTATTTTTTTCTTAGCACGAGGCTGGCGTCCAGAGGCCAGCCCCAAGCAGTCCCCTGCATGCACTGGCTGGTGGCCTGGATGCGTGCACGCGAACGTGTGCATATGCACATGGCGGCAGGGGCAGGCTCCCCGGCGGCAGCATCTGCGGCGGCGCCGGCGGCGGCGCCCTGACGCACGGCGGCCCGACGATCGCCCCCCACCCTTGCCGCCCTCCGCCCTTCCGTCCTTCCTCCTGCTCCTCCTCTTCCTCCTTCTCCCCCAGCTAGTGCTGGAGTCGGAACAGTATAACTTTGCTATATGCATGGCTGGCGGCGCCGTGTGGGATGCTCACGCACAACGCATTGCATGTGCTTCCTGACCTTGCCTTTCCCTTTCCTCCTCCCCTCTCCTCCGTCTTGCCGCGACTGTAATGTCGATTTATTGTTCAGGACGCGGTTCACTGCATGAGTTTGCCTATTACGGGTCGGCTTGTGCGGCGTCTCCGTCTGCTTTGCGATGCTTCGATTCGCGATGTGGCTGCGTCACCCGGGGGGCATCTTTCCACGTGTCTTCTAGCTTGCGGCCGGTGCTTGGGGTGGGAGGTAATTCGTTACTTGTCACACGCTCGCGTTCTCCAAGGCCACGGTTCACCTCGTGAGTTTGCCTATTGCAGGTCGGCTTGTGGGTTACATCCGGTTTGTCAGGCGTCTCTTCTCAGCATCTGGGCCTGACGCGCGCCCGCCGCCCTTGCGAAAGCGGCAGGGAGAGGCAATCGCAGGTTTGTTTTCCCCTCTGTCTGGATCAGGGGTTGCGGCTCGCAGGCCAGAGGGAGCTTAGGCCCCAAAGGACGATGATGACCTGCAGTAGGAAGATGAGACCAGAGGCAGGGAAGCCGAGGGAGTACCTAAGAGGGTCCGAGAGGCCTGAAGGGCCGATGTGAGTGGCTACAGCCCTGCAGATGAACTGGTGCTCTACGGTAAAATTGTAGTAGTCGGGAGAGGCTATTGTACAATCGCCCACTCTGACCAAGTATATTATTGTGTTGAGATTTCCTTATCTAAGTCATCTATCGTTGAACTTTCCAGTGTTACCTATCCCCCCACTGCCCCTTATGGTTCGATCAGAGCATAGAAGCAGGAAGCAGGGGCGAAGGAACGAGCAAAGCGAGCAAAGGCCAGCAAGGCCCGAGAGACGGGTCCACAGATGACCCTAAGAAATAGCCCTACGTACTAGCCCGTACTGCAGAAGCGAGGGAGCGACTAGTTTAGAATGTTGTTTTTCAAGACCTTCAACTTCTTGTATTGAGCCCCTGTTGTATTGACCTGGTAGTGGCATGCCTCAGAGGACCCTTTCCAACTCCCCTGCCCTTGGTGTTCCATCAGACAGCCCAAGAGAGCCCCTAGAGAGCTTCAGGAGGGGCTGGAGAGAAGGCATCCGAGCTGACATTTCGAGCCCTCCGCCCCAAGATGACCCCGCGACCGCCAGCAGACCACCCAAAGGCTTCTATGACGCCCCCAGGATGTGCCGAGATGCCCCCAGGAGGCCCACAGGAGGGTTCAAAAAAGTCCCCAAAGGGGCTTGAACCCTGCTTCCACGATGCCTGCGATGTCCGACCGTGCCCCCCAACGGCCCGCCAAGAAGCCGTAGGAAACGCGGATGACCCACAAAATCGACCCCAAGAGACCCCCAACACGCCCCAGGAGTCCTGCAAGCGAGAGCTTTTGAAGTACGGCCCCAATCGCCTCAAACCGCGCCCCTAGGCGGGCGAAGACACCCCAGGATCACCCGCATCGCCCGAGAAACCACGAAAGCATTTCCAGCTCCAGCCCAAGTTCCAGTCGGTCTCTTCGGTTCTTGCCACTTCTCGGCCTCCCGAGGGATTTACATGGGCCCCGCCTCGTTGAAGGCGCTCCAGGGGCGCTCAACGGCTTCGTGCTCTGCGCCGCCGCGGCAGCCTCGCCCTGGGCCCACCCATCGACGCGCGCGGACCTGCCCGCCGTTCGGGCGGCCGCGCGCGGCATCTTTTTAACGCGGCCGGCAGCTTGCCATAGACGGCCTCGCTCACTGAACTGTGAGGATCGACGGCCGTTCTTTTCGCCGCGGGCGTGGGCGCTCAAATCTCGCAGGCCCAGAGGTTGACACCAATACCAATATCGGGGGTGTGCCTCCACCGATGGAAGAAGATCCGAAAGAGCGTGTTCTACCGCTGCTGGCGGAAAACCGGGGGGGTTCACTACGGGTTCCCGACCCGTACCCCCCCCTCTCGAAAACGAGGGGGGGTCACTACCGGTTCGAACCCCTCCTCCCCCCCCAGTCCATCATGAAAAGGGGGGGGTTACTGCCGGTTCGAAGCCCCCCCTCCCTCGAAAACCAGGGGGGGGTCACTACCGGTTCGAACCCCCCCCCTCTTTCGCCGCCGGCAAACGATTCCCGCTCCTCGGGACAGTTGAACAGTGGTGGGGATACTGGGACAGTGGTGGGAACGGTGGTGGTGGGGACAGTGGCGTGGGGACAGTGGGACAGTGGTGCGGACAGTGGTGGGGAGGGTGGTGGTGGTGGTTGCGGGGACAGTGGCGAGGGGACAGCGGGACAGTGGTGGGGACAGTGGGCAGTGGTGGGGACGGTATTGGTTGGGACAGAGTTGAAGGCGGTGGTGACGACGGTGGTGGGACAGAGGTACAGTGGGAAGAGTGGCGGGGACAGTGGGGACAGTGGGACAGTGGGACAGTGGTGGGGACAGTGGGACAGCACAGTGGGACAGCGGCGGGGACAGTGGGGACTGTGGGACAGTGGTGGGAACAGTGGGGACAGTGGGACAGTGGTGGGGACCGTAGGGAAAGTAGGGAGAGTGGGACTGTGGTGGCACAATGGTGGGGAA